TTTTGTGGCTGTTGCCTGTGATTTTTTAATCACAGTTGGAGGTGTCCAATTGTGGTTTTTCCACGTTAAAATCGTTGTGTTGATTTGTGTTGATTGTTTGATTGTGATTGTTATATACTTCTTAAAATTGTTACATAATCACAAATCAATATCTAGAGAATTTCTAGATTTTTCAATTTGTATTTGAACAAAATAATTTATTCAAATTATTAGGATTGGCCACATATTAATATTCATACATAAAAAAAATTGAAAATTTTAAATTTGTTTGGTTAAAATAAACTAAACTTTTATTTGTTGTTCTGATATAAATTTTTGAATACATTAAGTTTGTTCAACTCTGTATTCTTGAACATGACTAATTTGATGTTAATTTTTTTACAAAATTCTATACTCACCCAATGTAGCAATATTAAAACTGATTGTGTTGTTAACTACAAAAATGAATTTGTTACTAAAAAGGTACACTTATGTTTCATTATCTTCACCATTAACATAAACTCATGAATCAATGGTGAGAATAGCAATATGAAATGACAACGAGAGACGGGAGTTTAACACCGACAATGAAAATCAACACCAGCGAAGATAGAGGCCAAATGAAACACTCTGTCGATAATTTGAAATGACGAGATGATGAGATGAGACACGACAGGAGTTCAACACCAACTATGGAGATCAATAGCGGTGAATATGGAGACCGAATGAAACCTTCGCCAACGATGGAGATCAAGATTGACGAAAATGGTCTATATTATGAAGATTGTAGAGGTTTTTGTCATGTGTAGTGGTGAAGATCAAGAGTTTTTGGTGTGTGTAATGGTGTGTATTCAAATAGCTAGAGGTGTGTTATTATAAGGTTAGTAATGGAAAGTTAAGGTGTGAAATAAGATATTTTCAAGAGTGGTGCTATTAGCATCCCATGAATTATTTTGGACCTTCCATTTCTTTGTACCCCCACTTATAAATTTTGAAACCCTTAAAATTTATTTTCTCTCCCTAAATAATACCAAAATTATTCTTAAACATTTCACCCATTGAATGAACACCCCCCACACCCCTAAAAAAACCTCATTCTAAAAAATCCTAACAAAACCCACTAAAAAGAATAAGAGTCTCATCCTTTTCAAAACCTATGAAGAAGAAGAAGAATACTGTCTATGTTCATATAAGCTACAACATGGTATAGCCTTTTGACTAACTACTGTATATATATAGAGAGAGAGAGAGAGGGGGGGGATCTTTATTTTTCGTTTTTAATCTCATTTGGGCCATCTGATATGCTGACTTGTTGATCAACTGCTCTTATTTAACATGGTATAGCCTTTTGATGTGCTCCCATTTCTACCATAACATATCCTCCATTTCTTCTCTCTATCTCTGTCTTGGGGTTGTGGCAGTGTGGGTGTGTGGGCGTGTGTGTGTGTTGAGAATTAAGGGAGAGCCATAAACAAAACAGAGTTATAGTATACCTAAAAATGGCTAGTTTCTTTCATATTTGGACATGTATTCCCGAACAAATAAGTTATGTTCATAAATGTGTTTCTGAACAAATAAATAATGTTCAGGCTTGTATTCCCGAACTTAAAAAAATAAAATTTTTGCGAGTATTAAGAATTTTAATTGTTAACTCGCCATCATCCTAAAATAAATAACAATACAAATTAAATTTTAAAATGTGATCAGTAAAATAGGTCCAAACCTATGAATAATGTTCGGTTTAGTTTTTGAACAAATAAACAATGTTCGGGCCTATGTTTTCGAATTTCGGTCATATGTTCGGAAGTTCAGTCCTGAAAAAATAACGAACAGATTTTATTATTTTTGCCATTTTTTTTTCAAAAAACTTATCCTTACAAGGCCAATCTCCTCTAAGTTAAGAACAATATCAAAGCTATGAATCTCCTCTAAGTTTTTATTGTTATACTCTTCTCGTCTTATAGAGTTCTGGTTGCGAGAAAAACTTTCACTCATTGTCATTGCCGAAAAAGTGTAGGTAATCAAATGGTTGTCACCGTTACAGCCAGAATATTGCTACCAAAGAATTTTCAAGAGGGCGGGTAGGTTTTGAAGGTGGGATTTGGGGAAGATAGATGAGTGGTGATGGAGGTGGAAGCTCTCATAAACCCTAGTTCATGATATAGTATGTGTATAGATTTAATTGTGAGATAGAGTGTCCCAATATTAATGATGTCCTTTGTAGTAATTTTATTTGAGGCTATTATTGTAAAAAAATAAAAAATAAAAAAAGTTAAAAATTGGTGGGTCTAAAATAATTTATGGGGTGCTAATAGTAGCACTCATTTTTAAACCCTAGAAATTATTTTGTATGTGTACTAAGTGATGGAATGTACTGAGAGTATTAATGGTGCGTAAATAGAATCACCCATGAATATTTATGAATTGAATGACTTTATTATATTATGTGAAAGGAAGTTTAGCAAATACATTTAACTCTCCAAAAAAAAAGAAAAAAAGAGTAAGACTCTTTCGATAGAGCAAAGTATTACCATACTCATTAATTTACTTGAATATTTTAGACTACCCATTTGAATTTGAGTAATCTAATATCCTTGCTAATCAAGGTATAGGTTATAGGGACATTTGGGGGACCACACTTCTGAAGTCTAGGTACTATTTAAAGGGGCGTTGGTTCTCTTCTTCAACACCCCACTCGTACATCTAAAATAGTATTACCAAAGAAAGCATAGGGGAAGAGTGAAAATGGAAGAAGGTATAAATTTCAATTCATGTTTATTTCTTTTCAAAATTCATATCTTGTAACCCCAAGGCTACCAATCTAATGCCAATGTGCATAGTTATTAGTATGCATTACAAAATCATCAATCATTGAATTGTAATTTGAAGTCCTTGACTTATTGACTTGCAAAGGTTTGAGTTTTAGATTCCAATTGATTCATAATATTCTACCACCTTTTAGTATGAATCTAATATGTGTTTCTTTATTTGAGTTTACTTAAGCTAAGTGCTTCTGAAAATTTGTGATTTTTTCAAATGTTATTATCTAATTTGTTTTTCTTGGTTAAAAACATTTTTACTTCTCTTTTTTTCAAGTTATATCTTCATTTAGGAAAATTTCAAGGGATATATCATTTCTCCTAATCATTTCTACACATGATTTTGACAAGAAGATCAATCTAGTTATAAGATCAAGATTTTAACATCAACTTAATCAAATGATTTTTGGATGTATAATTAAATTTTAAGGCCTTGCATTCTTTTGGTAACTTCCAAAAAAAAAAAAGAAATTTCGTAGACCACAGTTTAATAGTTCATAATTCTTAAGGATTTTAACCATATGCTCTTATCAAATATTTTCTTTACAATTTATTTTGTTTAAATTAGGTAAATTATATCAGTAGTCCTTACATTTTGCACATTGTGTCATTTTGGTCCCTATCATTTCAGTTAGCTCAACTTTTACCATTAATTTTAGATTTTCTGTCAATTTTATCCAATGATTAGGGGTTTTGAAAGAAAATGGCGAGTGAGTTGGTTGAGATTAACTTATTAAGTTAAATAAATTTATAATTTTGCATATAGAAGTATGACACGTGTCACTTATGTACATATTTTTTATTAAAAACATTAAAAATTATAAGCAATTGGACCAAATTGAGTTAAAACCATAAATTTAGGATCAAAATCGAGTAGATTGAAATTACATCGACCAAAATGATATAAGAGTAAGTGTAAGACTACTAGTGTAATTTACCCTATAATTTATTTATTGGCAAGTCTTATGCCTCTTCCAACACACAATTTCAACACTGGCCATGATGTTTTTGCCCTCTCATTCTCTATAAATATTTAGTACCAGATCAATACACTAATGCTTTGTTACATGTATATTCCATGTTCACTTATGCAAATATGCTATATATTAATCATTTTTTCTATATGTATATATATGCAATGCTTTTGTTGGCACTGAAAGATGGTAAGATCAAGATTGGAAGCAAACAGCTTATGAAACTGTTTGACGACCTTTACATAGAAACAATAGAACTCAGTATGGATTTTAATTGCGTGGTCGCCATTATCTTGACTTCAAAAACCGACGGTTCAATCTATTCTTTCGGGTTACCCTCTGTTGAGTTAGTCGTGCAAGCATACCTCAATGACTTCATTCCAGTGGTATCAAAAAGTGATGAACAAAATATGGAATCGTGTCGTAAGCTTTATCGCCGGTTGAAGGAGTTGGAGCAACAAAGGAAGGCTGAGAAGAAGAGTGGAAAAAAGCTCAAGAGCAAGAGAAGGCTTGGTGGTTGCAAAAAGTTTTGGGATGAAGCTTATCTAAAGAAGACAAACCAGAAACACTATCAACTCCATCACAGTTGGGGATGTGATTCTTGAGGAACCAGTGTCTGTCAACAATGAGGTTTGGCTTCACTTTTCAAACCCTTTCAAAGATGATTGGAAAATGAGACCAACCTTGTCAGGTGAATTTAAAAGTATTAGGCTTAGTACCCACTTTCATGTGCTTGAAGCAGATTTTTCTAAAGAAGAAGTTTGGGTAGCGGTAAGTGATTGTAATGGGAACAAAGCCCCAGGACCAGATGGATTTAACCTGATGTTTTTTTCAGAAATTTTGGAAGGTGCTTAAAGGTGAAGTCCTCAAATTTATGCAAGAGTTTCATGTCAGTGGCAGATTAATCCCAGGTTTGAATTGCTCTTTCATTACTCTTGTCCCAAAAAAGGAGAAAGCTTTAGCACTAAATGAATTCAGACCTATTAGTCTGATTGGTTCCATCTACAAAATTCTATCTAAAGTCCTAACAAATAGATTGAAGCTAGTTATGCCTTTGATAATTGGTGATTCAAAATCAGCTTTTTTGAGAGGTAGAAACATCTTGGATGGTGTATTGATTGCAAATGAAATTGTGGATAGCTGGGTCAAATCCAAGAAAGCTGGGCTGCTCTTTAAAATAGATTTTGAGAAGGCTTTTGACTCCATCAACTAGAATTTCCTTTTTTCAATGTTAGCAAATTTTGGGTTTGGCAAAAAATGGATCTCTTGGATTCAGGAGTGTGTCTCTACTGCTAGAATTTCAATCCTTGTCAATGGATCTCCAACCAAGGAGTTTAACCCCCAAAAAGGGCTCAAGCAAGGTGACCCCTTATCATTATTCCTATTCAATTTGGTTGTTGAGGCATTAAATATTCTTTTTCAGAGAGCTATGGATCTGAGATTGCTCAAAGGGGTATCTGTTGGGGCCAATGATGAGGTGCAATTGTCTCACCTTCAATTTGCAGACAATTCCCTTTTGTTCTGTGAAGCTGAGCTAACAGAGGTGCTAAATTTGAAAAGAATTCTTAGATGCTTTGAAGTGTCTTCAGGTCTTAAAATCAATTACCATAAAAGTGTTGTTTGTGGGATTGGCATCTCCGGATCTTCCCTTGTTGAGTTTGCTTCCCTCTTGAATTGCAAGACTCAAAATTTACCAATCAAATATCTAGGTCTGCCCTTGGGTGCAAATCCTAGAAGGAAGAAAACTTGGAAACCAGCAGTTGATAAGGTAAAACTAAGGCTAGTTGGTTAGAAAAAGGAAGCTATTATCTTATGCAGGTAGATTAACCTTGGTGAAAGCAGTGTTATCAAGTATACTTGTGTACTACTTATCATTATTTAAGCTACCTAAGGGAATTGCCAAGGAGTTAGACAAAATTCAAGCCTCATTCTTATAAGGAGGGCCAGATCTGAAGTGCAAAATCCATTTAGTGAAATGGTTAGAGGTTACCAAGAGCATAAAGCAAAGTGGTTTGGGGGTTAGAAGAATCAGAGATGTGAATGTGTGTCTACTCCTAAAATGGTGGTGGAGATTTGCTTCTGAACCAGTGTCACTCTGGTATAGGGTCTTATGCAGCAAATATCGGTTCCTTGGTGGAAAATGGGTTCCAAACCCAAGTTTAAACACCTCATCCTCTTATATCTGGAATGGCATAGTGGCAGTAGGTGAACAAAACCAGTCTCTTTCATTATACTATGCTAGTAACCTCCAGTTAAAGGTGGGCAATGGATGTCATATAAGATTCTGGTTTGATTCTTGGTGTGGGAATATTTGCCTAAAAGATGAGTTCCCTCGGCATTTCAGTTTATCTTTACAAAAGGAAGGTCTGCTAAAGGACTTTGTGGAAGTTTCTGGCACAACTAAGAACTGGTTGTTCACATTTAGGAGGCCTCTCTTTGTTTGGGAAAAGAATGAATTGCTCAGGCTAAATGGCATTGTAGGTTCAGTCCCCTCCTTTCAGTTGGAGTCTAAGGACAGTGCAGTTTGGAGAGCAACCAAGCCAGGGCAATCTTTTATGTCTAACCTTTACAATCATACCAGCAGTGCGTATGGTGGTACTGTTAGTTTAAGTCATCTGGTGTGGATCAAGTTTCTTCCCCCTAAGGTGCAATTCTTTGGTTGGCTCACATGGAAGCACAAGATCAAAACTTCTGTATTCTTGCAGCGGATTGGAGTCTTGGATAGTTCTGTCTCTACATTGTGCATATTTTGTAAATCTCAGCAGGGCAGGAATCAATTGAGCATGTTCTAATGCTCTGCCCATTTATTTGGAGAGTCTGGTCTGGTCTGCTGCAGTGATGGGGTGTTTCTTGGGTTGTTCCTGACTCTGTCCTTGGTCTGCTGCAATGGTGGTCAGGGTACCTTTGTAGGAAAGCTGAACAGTGGCTTTGGCGTGCCATACCTCTAGTAGCACTCTGGTCAATCTGGAAGCATAGGAATGATGCCACTTTAATGCGTCTCACCCAAATCTGCAGGACCTGCAAGAGCTGATTCTCATTAGGCTTGCTATCTGGCTTAAGGCTGCTTCTAAGGAGCTCCATTTTTTGATTTCAGATTTCCTTTACAACATCTTAGGGGTGAGGCAAGGATTGCTATAGTCTTGAAACTGTCAAGCTTTGCAGACTGCAATTTGTTCTAGTTTGGTGCTCTGTTCCAGTTGGTGCTTTTGTAATTTGTTCTTCTTCCTTCAGTTTGTTTGTTCTTTTCTTAGATGTTTGATTGGTTTCTCACCAATCTTGGTCATTTCCTGCTCTACTGATGTATTTTTGCATGTCCTCTACTAAATTCATCAATAAAGCTTTTATCTGTTGTTCAGGAAAAAAAGAAAGAAAAAGCTTTGTGAGGATATTATCGCTAGGTTGAAGAGTATGCACGAGACATCTACTGAACCTAGTGCTTCTACATTTGCTTCTTCTTCTAGTGCTAATGAGGATGACTATGCTGTGGAAGATGATATTGTGAAGCATGCATGATGAAAACCAAATATCTATGGAGTAATATGATGCAAGAATAGATCATGCTATCAATTAATAATAATAATAATAATAATAATAATAATAATAATAATAATAATAATAATAATAATAAGCATTTGAAGTAAAATTGAGAAAAATATAAATCAAGAAGCATAATCGATGTTAATGGTTTAGAAAGAGTGACTCAAAAAGGGTTAACCAAGTCAGAAGGTTAAATATTGAAAAGTTAATAAGGTGAGTTCAAGTAAGCCAATTGCTAGAGCAAACTGACCACTGCTTGAGCCGTGAACTCAAGCTCACAAATCTTTGAGCAAGTAGACAAATTTGAAGAATAATGAAAAGCCGCCTCGTGAGTGCTCTAGTGGTATCACACAATAGCACGCCTAAGTTGTTGGGCTACTTTTACCCTGTTCAAAACATGTCAAAGGATCACTATGACCCATAACCAACCCAATAACATGCAATCTTAAACATACATCAATGATATGAATCATTTGAACGATTTTACATACAATCCTATCTTCAATTACATTCATCATTTCACTCATCCATTAATCACAATTTTATTTCAAAAATTCCAAATACTATCCAATCTATCAAGTAAATATAATTCCATTTCATAAAGTTAACAAGTCTTTCCCTTAGAGGCTTACATAATTAATGAGGCCGTTGGATCTCAAACAAACAATGACGCTATGACCTTACATCAAAAACAAACAGATATACAGAAATTCATGGCTCGACAACTTAATATATATACATATATCTATCACAAAAAGATGATCGCTAGTCACCTCACAACCTTGGTTGACGCCCTAAAAATTGATAAAAACTAAAGATACTCCAAAAATTTTCCATAAGGATAATCTCCAAAATAACCTTGCATTGATTACCAAATTAGCATCCATAGAAACTAAAAATATTAAATCATTCGATTATCAAAAACAAATGAACGGAATTTGACATTTGATTACATTCATCAGTGAAAGATAGTGAAAAAGGTTACAATAAATAAATATTGTTAGCCACAAGGGAAGGGTAACATCAATCTAATAGCCTCAAGTTAGCCAGGGTTCTACGGGATTCTCATTGTTAAATTCCAAATCCGGTTCCTCATTAATGTCATCGCATGACATAAAACACAATATGTCACACCCAGATTTTCAAGATACTAATTAAACATAAACTAATTAACCTAAAATCAACTTACTTAGAATTTTTTTCTTAAGTTTGCCAAAAGTCTAGTTTATCTCGTAAAACATGCTTAAAGGCAATTATGTTTCAATGGCTCGAAAAATAACAATATTATCCCAAGGCTGACTCTAAGTTACTTAGGGCACTTCCCAAGCTTTTTCAACATTCCAGATGCAATGGTGATGACCATTTGACTTGAATCCTATCCAAATTCACAAACTTGTCTCTAGGGGCTCTTTGTTAGATATCATATGCCTTGTTTTAGACTTCTTGTTCCCTGAAGGGTTATCATGTCTTCACTAGGTCGTTTGGGTTGATTTGATACCATACCATGGTTGTATTTTTTAAGCAAAACACTGATAAGCAACAAGTGTTAGTAAGGGTTCCCTAAACCTAGCTCGGTTCACCTAAAAGGAAGGCAAGATGTCTCTTTTTAAAGGTGGGTGTAGACACCCCATTTTTAACTGACCTTAAGACTCAGACGTCATCGATTGAGCGCTCGGTGATAGTGCATGTTGTGCACGTTTCGAGTTTCTGGAGTTTTGGCCGAGTGCCTTGCCGCCAGGCCTCTGAACTTTTTGTGCTTCGACTCAGTTTGCGGACCAAGCCTTGTTTCCCTTCCCTATAGGGAGCGGGTGGTCCTGTAAACCATCCTTTTGTGGTCGTAGGCCACTTTTCTCGCTCGGAGACTAGTTTCCGATTTTCCGAGCCTTCGGTCGCGCGCCTTGTCTCGGGACCGCTTAACGTTCTCTGTTTGGCTTGGTTTTTGGACCATGCCTTGTTGCCTCTGCCTAGAGGGACACTGTGGTCGGGGAGACCACTTTTGTGGTCGTAGACCACTTTTGATGCCCGTAGACTAGTTTTCGAGGTTTTCAGCTGCATGCCTTGCCTCCCGATCTTTCGTCTTGCATCCGTTTTGGTTTGTTTTTGGTACAAACCTTGTTTTCCTTGTTTGGAAGGTGGTACAAGGGTGGGAGACCAGTATTTCCCCTTGGAGACCACTTTTCTTCCCGCCAACCAGTTTTTTGGTCTGACAACTGGTCTCCTTGGTCTTTGGGCCATCTTTTCTGGTCGGCCACCACACCACTGTATTGTTTTCATGCTCTAGACTCTCTCCCACCATCGCCGACCAGTTTTTGTCTTGGGAGACCACTTATGGTGGTCGGCCAACCACTATAAGTAGCTGGCTGACCATTTCAAGTGGTCGGCTGCTTTTTGTCACCTTTTTGGAGGTATTTTCCTATAGCTGGCGTAGCTGGAGGGCACTGAAACCATCCTCCATACACTTGGAGGGATGGTCTTGAACCCTTAGCTTTCTCAAGAAGCTTACACTTTTGTTCTCTATATAAGAGAACCTCCTCCTCCCTCCTCTAAGTTTAGAATTTTGAGGCTTGAGTGATAGATACACACTTGTCACTATATTTCCTTGTTTGTTCTTGTTTTGTGCCTAAAAGTGTCATTTTGTTTCACTTTTGTACACAAACACACACTCAAACACCATACTCTTGGAGATGAGGTCCCTTGAAGTTGTTCTTGAAGTTCTTGGACTGGTTTGAGCTCAAAGAAGCTGCTGGAGTTGCAACTTTAAAGGTGGTCTCTGTCACGACCCAAACCCGGCCCTATGGGCTCCTCTAAGTTTAGAATTTTGAGGCTTGAGTGATAGATACACACTTGTCACTATATTTCCTTGTTTGTTCTTGTTTTGTGCCTAAAAGTGTCATTTTGTTTCACTTTTGTACACAAACACACACTCAAACACCATACTCTTGGAGATGAGGTCCCTTGAAGTTGTTTTTGAAGTTCTTGGACTGGTTTGAGCTCAAAGAAGCTGCTGGAGTTGCAACTTTAAAGGTGGTCTTCAAGGGTGAGCTTTTAACCTTTTAAACCCCCATTTTTGCGTAAGCTTTTAGCCCTACTTGCATGTTGTTTTGGGCTTGACTTTAAACTAACAAAAGTTCTATTTTTCAGTCCTTGTGAAGTTTGTTTTAGATCACTTTTGCATTGGGGGTGGTCTACCCCCTCTTAGGCCTTGTTTTGAGCCACCCCTTTTGGCTCTTGTTGTAGCCTTTGAATGACCTTTCTACCACTAAAACCCAGAGGATTTTCAGTGGTGGAAATATGATTTTGAGGTCCCTAATAGGAGAGGGTCATCCCCTCTCCTTGTGTTTTGTATACTTGCTTCATATGCCTCATGTTTGAGCATGTTTGCTAAGCTTGTGTTGGCTTGTTGTTAGCATATATTTGGGGTTATTTCAGCATGCCTCAGATCTGTTTTGACTTGGTTTGGTCATTCCATGCATGCCTTATACACTTGTAGTGTAAATCACACAAACTAGTCTTGTATGCTTCATGAAGTAGTATGTCATTCTAGCTTGTTTTGTGTCCATTTTAGCATGTTTTTGGTGATGTTTTTCCATGTCATACATCTGTTAGGGTTTGGTTTGGTCACCCCTTGCATGCTTCATGCACTTGTAGTGCAATCCCATGAACTAGCCTAACATGCATCTTGTTTTTAGCTATCATTCTAGCATGCTTTTGGCTTAACTTCAAGAAGATTTTGTCCATGTTTTAGCATTCTCTAGCTCTGATTTTGTTGTTTTGGTCGTGTATGCCATGCTTTGTATAGCTGTAGTGCATTCTAGCTTGTTAGCTTTGTGTATCAAGTCCACTAGCATGCATTGCTTGACCTGTTTCCATGATTGGCCATCATTTGAAATGTGATTTCAGTCCATGTAGCGTGGCCACACACTTGCATCTTTCACTTATTCAATGCATTGGAGGGTTTGCCCCTTTATGCCTTAACATAAACCATTGCGTATGCCTTCATGCCTAAGCTTGCTAGCTATCATTTCAGTGCTTATTTGGGGTTATTTTGCCATGATATAACTCTTATTTTTGTTGGTTAAGTCATCCCATGCTTGGTCTTAATAGGTGTAGTGTAATCCACCTTATTTGCCTCGTATGCATCATGCCTTATGCCCTTCATGCTAGCTTGTTTTGGCTTCCTTCCATACATGTTTTAGTATCATTTTGACATGTTCTAGGACTGTTTTAGGTTGCCCTTGCCATATGCTTCATGTTTTGCATAGCTATAGTGTAAGTGCTCTTGCTAGCTTCATGCTTTGGGCACCATAGCATGCTTCATTTGTGTTGTGTACATGATTTGGCATCATTCATCATGTTATTTCAGAGTGTGTAGCATTGCAATGTTCCCACTTCTTCCACCCTTTGAGTGCCTCTAAGGGTTGTGCATTTATTACCTTGTTTATGGCCTAGTGTGTATGCTTGCATGCCTAGGCCTTTGAGCCATCATCTTAGCATGTTTTGGTCATTGTTTGGACCTATTTCAGATCTGTCCACGGTTAGTTCAATCATTTGTGCTGTGTGTTGCATGTCCCTTATGTAGTCCCTTTAATGGCTTTGTGCCTTAGGCACTCTCGCATGTTTTACTTGTGTTGTTTGAATGATTTGGCATCATTCCTTACTTGATTTTAGTGCACTTAGTGTTGTTACACTTCCATGTTTATCACTCCTTGAGCACTCTTGAGAGTTGTGCTCTTATGCCTAGTTGATAGGCAATTGCATTGTGCATGCCTGACTTGATCATCATGCCTTAGTTCCATCATTTTAGCCACTGATTTGGGCATGGCTGAGGTCTGTCCATTTTGGTTAAAGTCCATTGAGCATTGTGTATGTCATGTTACATTGCGTTGTGCATGTTATGTTATTGTTTGCATTGCGCATGCCATGCTCTTGATTCGCATTGTGTATGCCATGATCATATTGCATTGAGTATGCCATGA